ACTAACTACTACTCTTACTACAACTACTACACTACTAAATACAGTTTAACCCTACTACTACTACTACTACTACTACTACTACTACTACTATTACTACTACTTCTACTACTACAACTAGTATCACTACTACTACTACTACTACTACTACTACTACTACTATTACTACTACTCTACTGCTGCTACTGCTACTGCTACTGCTACTGCTACTGCTACTGCTACTACTACTACTACTACGACTACTACTACTACTACTACTACTACTACTACTACTACTACTACGACTACTACTACTACTACTACTACTACTACTACTACTACTACCTCTACTACGCCTTTGATACTGAAATGCGGGCATCGTCATCAAATTGTCGATTCGCTCCATCGGCGGCCTCGGCCATCTCTAGCTCGGCATCCACGAACCGGGTCAAGGCGTCCTGCCGCTCGGCGGACATCTGGTCCAGGTTTACGACAATGTCGCCATGGTCGTCCTCAGGGCCCCGCGAACAGGGACGTTGACAAAGCAGGACGGTGGAGCGCCCGTGACGAAGTGCAGCCGCGGGTCGAAATATCCTTCGTTTGTCGTTCTCCTGGTGTGCAGTCAGAGCCTTGCCGGAAGGAGCCCCGAAGAGGGCACGAGGCCCCTCTCGGGCAACAGATGCGCCTACGATGCACAACTGGAGCCGCAGGAAGGCCCGCGAGGGACCCGAGGGACGTCGAGCACCTCCCGAAAAAAATAGAGCCTCTCACGATGAGTTGACGGCATCTGGCAGATCCCTGGTCTGCTGCAGTGCCCTCGCTTGCATACCGGGTCCGGCGTCCTCGCCCCCGGCCCCGTCCGGCCCGAGGAACTCGATGACCCTGTCGAGCTGCTCGTCGGTCAGCCCGTCGAGCTTCCTCGAGGAGGACGCTGGCTATACACCTGCACCAACCCTGGCCAGGCTCATCCTGGGCCCACGATCAGTGCACATGCCTTCCTGTCCAAGCCAGGAGGGCGGATACACCGATCCAGGGCCCAGGATCGGCCTGGGGATCGGTGTAGGTGTACAATGAACTGGTGCCCTCCGATCCTCTGGAGGACCTTCTTCTCCTCCCTCCCCAGGGACAGGGCGCGCGCGTGGAGCATGCCGCCTCGGCTCCGCGAGCGAGCGGGGCCCGCTGGCTGTCCGATGGGAGCGAGCCGGCGAGCGAGTGAGCGAGGCTGGCCACCCTACGGTCAAGAACTTTGGCGCAGCGTGTCGCGGCGGCGGCTCCGGCGACACGCTGCCGTGCGAGTGGATAGCGTGTCGCTCCGCTCCGCGGGGCGCGAGGCTGGGAAAGGCTCGGGATGTTGACGCTCGGGGCGGGAAGTGGATAGCGTGTCGCGCCGAAGCATGGGCCAGAACCGACACGCTAACCCATGACCTGACCGTAAGGCTGCCTACCCCAGGGATGGCCACGGCCACCCCGAGGCTGGGTAGCCACGGGCGCGGGAGGGGCCCAAGATTGCTACGACGACTTCTGCTGTCCCTCCAGAGCTTCCACGAGCAGCTCCAGATTCACCTGGATATCTCGGGACTTACCTCGATATATCTGGGTGCCCCTAGATGTGTTTGGGAACTGACCTCGATTTACCAAGATTCATCCCCCGAAAACCGATTGGAGAAGAGTCGCCGAACCCAGAGGGGCAAGAGCGGCCTCGGACAAGACCCCCCTTTCTCCGGAGCCGAGCAGGCAGCCAGGGCCGCCCCAGCCCTTGGCCGCCTCGTCGCCGACCTCTCACGCCCCCGATCACCGCGAGGGCGCCCTCTGGGAGCAAGACGTCCAGGTCAGGGACGGGCTGGCCTGGGTCAGCGCTAACCCGGATCATCCAGGGCCACGTCGCTAGCCCAGGCAGGCCGCGAAGTAGCTCGGAAGCCCGGGTCACCGGACGGAGGGCCGGGGGGGGGCTCCGCCTCCGCCTCCTCCTCCGCCTCCTCCTCCTCCTCCGCCTCCTCCTCCTCCTCCTCCGCCTCCTCCTCCTCCTCCTCCTCCTGGGGCGAGGCGCCTAAATGCAGGTCAGCCAGAAACGGTCGAGACGAGCGGGACGGGCTGACCCCGTCGTGAGGACTGGCCCCCGCCGCGTGGCCACCCTCGTGCTCGACAACTTGAAGGGTAGACACGCACCTGCGACGTTGAAGGGCACCTCGGATCTGCTCCCAAGATGAATCAACCCCAGAAGGTGCAACGATAGAGCACGATTCGACGTCTGCAAGTCTGTGGTGGCGCCAGCACTCCGCGTGTGGCGTCACCCCGAAAGTAAACAAGAAAGCCTCCCGATATCCTCAGGGGAGTCCTCCAAGACAAGGGTAGCCTCGCTTCTCTCGTGCCACTTGCGAGGAGCTGACTGGACAACTGCCCGAAGGGAGATCTCCTTATCGGCTACCTGGGACCAGCTAAGCGCATCAATTGATTCCTGGGATTCTCGGAGCCCCCACCTACTAGCGAGCGGGGGGGTGAATGGAAGGGGAAGGGGGAACAGGGGTGGCGAAGAGCTTGGACCAATCCAACGACCCCTCCCCCCAGAATGTTTTTCCTCGGCCCGCTGTTTGTGGGGATATGTCCATGTGGAGCGTCAGTCCGAGGGTGGACGCAGCGCCATTCGACAAAAACTGCCTCATCGCAATTGAAAGACCCCCTCTGTCCGAGAAATCACGAACTCTTCTCTTCCATCGTATCAATTTCATGGATCACGTAAAGTCCAAAGCCAAAGGCTCGCGAGAGTCCGTGTGAACAATAATTGCAACCCACGGAGCGCACAAAACCACGTTTTGCACACGTACATAAGACTCCCCCCTATTTTCCAGTTATACAAAATGTTGATAACTGTGTTTCTTTATATCCACCCTGGCCATAAATTGTAAATTCTAGGTTTGGATGCCCATGATAAATCACGATGAATGATGCTTATAGCATGGGAAATCTAAGCAAACTGAATGCAGCCTGGCTGCCCTGAAACCAGAAGCTTGGAAAACGACTTCCCAGGACTTACCTTCCTAACCAGTATGGCCAGAAAGCGCCCGCCACGGAGCATGTACTTTGAGATTTCTCGGCGCGCGCGTCGCCCCTTTGGGGGCGACGTACACATAGTATTAGTACGCTTGGGTGATGCCGATGTATCGTCGGAGATCTGCGTGGGCCGCGGATGGGCCCGTCCCAGCCGCACCGGTCGGTCGCCGGCCGCACCGCTCGGCCGCCGGCGGGGCGCAGAGCTGGGCGCGCGCGCCCTGCTCGCCGAGGCGCGCGTCCTGGGTTCCTCCCTCCGCCGCCTCCTCCGCCAACTCCGCCTCCTCCTCCTCCTCCTCCTCCTCCTCCTCCTCCTCCTCCTCATCCTCCTCGTCCTCCTCCGCATCCGCCTCATCCTCTTCCTCCTCCTCCTCATCCTCCTCCTCCTCCTCCTCCTCTTCCTCCTCCTCCTCTGCCGCCTCCGCCGCCGCCTCCTCCTCCTCCTCCTCCGCCTCCGCCTCCCCGTAGGGCAGGCCAGGCGTTTCGCCTGAGATTTCCTCACCATTTCCTGAAGCTTGAAATTTACAACAACTTCACGAATGGAGGGCGAGTCGCTTTCAAAATGCGGCTCTCGCCTAAGAGTCGCGCGCACTCGTCGAAAAAATGCAAGAGCTTCACAACTGGGCGGGCCGAAGGTAGCTCTCGCCTTTGCGCCGCGCACATTCGCCTTAAAAGTTGGCAAGAACTTCACGGATGGCGGGCGGGCCGTTTTCAAAAGGTAGCTCCCGCCTTAGCGCTGCGCACATTCGCCGTAAAAGCTTGCAAGAGCTTCACGGGTAGAAGGCGGAACGTTTTCAGAATATGGGGTTTTCGCATCAGCGCCGCGCACATTCGCCGTAAAAGCTTGCGAAGCCTTCACCGATGGAGGGCAGTTCCTTTTCAAAATGTAGTTCCTGCCTTAGCTCCGCGTACATTCGTCTCACGAGTTCACAATAGTTTCAAGGATTCGTTGGGTTGCCTTCCCCGAAACGGTGTGTTGGCAAGATGTGGGACTGCCAGGGCGCAACAGACAGATTTGATTCGCTGTAGTCCCAAAAACGGTGTTCTGGCACGATGCAGGATCATCGGGACGCAATAGTAACGTTGAGTGGAGGCTCGTCTCCCCCCTCTACTTCTCCTCTCTCCTCTCTCCTCTCGCCGCACGACTCTCACCTCTCTCCTCTCTCCTCATCCTCTCCTCTATCCTATATGATCTCTCCTGTCTACTATATCATCTCTCCTCTCTGCTCTCTCCCCTATCATCGATCCTCTCTCTCCCTCTCTCCTTTCCTTTCTGCTCTCTCCTCTCTCAACTCTCCTCTTTCCTCTCTGCTCCCTATTCTCTCTGCTCGCCTCTCTCCTCTCCTCTCTGCTCTCTCCTCTATCCTTTCTCACCTCTCCTCTCTCTTCTCTCCTCGCTCCTATCTCATCCCTCCTCTCTTCTCTCTCCTCCCTACGCCCTCATCCCTTCTCTCTTTTCCCTTCTGCTCCTCCTCCCCCCCCTCCCCCTCCCCCTCCCCCTCCCCCTCCTCCCCCTCCTCATCCTCCTCAACCTCCTCCTCCTCCTCCTCCTCCTCCTCCTCCTCCTCCTCCTCCTCCTCCTCCTCCTCCTCCTCCAGTCCTTCTCCTTGTAGATAACTCCTCCCTGTCGCACATCGAAGCCAGTTTTTAGGGTGGGCCGGGCGTTTTGCCTGAGACTTCCTCACCAATTATGAGTCTGAAGCTTAAACATGGCAGCAGTTTACAGGTGGAAGGCGGGTGGTTTTCAAAATGGGGGTCTCGCATTAGCGCCGCCCACATTCGTCTTGAAAAGTTGCAGAAGCTTCACGGATTGAGGGCGGGTGGTTTTCAAAATATGACTCTCGCCTTAGAGCCGCGCACATTTGATTTTCAAATTTGCAAGATTTTCACGGATTGAACGCGGATGAGGATGTGGTTATCGCCTTCGCGCCGCGCGTACTCGTTTTTCAAAATTGCAAGAGCTTCACGGATTGAGAGCAGGTCGTTTTCAAAATGTGGCTCTCGCCTTAGCGCCGCGTACATCCGGTTATATAAAAAAAAAAAAAAAAAAAAAAAAAAAAAACACGGATTGAGGGCGGGTGGTTTTCAAAATGTGGTTCTCGCCTGAAGGTCGCGCACACTCGTCTTAGAAATCCGAAAGAGCTTCACGGATTGAAGGCGTTTCCTTTTCAAAATGCGGCTCTCGCCTTAGCGCCGCAAACATTCGTTTTTAATGTGCAAGAACTTCACGGATTGAGGGCGGCTCATTTTCGCTTTAATACTTTGCAAGAGCTTCACGGATTGAAGGCGGGTGGCTTTCAAGTGTGGTTTTCACCTTCGAGCCGCGCACAGTCGTTGTAACAATTTGCAAGGGCTTCACGGATTGAGGGTGTTTCCTGTTCACAATGTGGCTCTCGCCTTAGCGCCGCGCATATTCGTTGTCAGAATTTGCAAGAGCTTCACGGATCGAGGGCAGCTCATTTTCAAAATGTGGCTCTCGCATTAGCGCCGCAAACATTCGATTTTAAACATTTGCAAGAATGTCACGGATTGAGGGCGGTTCCTTTTCAATGTAGCTCTCGCCGAATGTGGCTCTCGCATTAGCGCCGCGCACAATCGTTTACACATCTGCAAGGGCTTCACGTATTCCCAGGATCAACGTACCAGAAACGGTGTTGTGGAAGGGTTCAAGATTATGTGGGCGCAACAATTATGTTGATTCGTGGTGTTGACGTCCCCAAAAAAGCATTTTGGCACGGTTCCCATCGTCAAAACGCAGCAGTCAGGTTGATCCGTGGCGTTGAAATCCCGAGAACAATGTTTTGGTATGCTTCAAGGTCTTCAAGCGGTTGTATTCCAACGAGGCAGTTCCCTCAATGGAAATGAACCGTTGTAGGGGCCTATGAAGAAACAGCCAGAGGGGAGGGTTAATTCCAACATCGTTGATGACCCTTGGGTTTACACTGGCCCTCCTCCTCCTCCTCCTTTTCCTCCTCCTCCTCCTCCTCCTCCTCCTCCTCCTCCTCCTCCTCCTCCTCCCCATCCTCCTCCTTTCTTTCCCCTTATAGATAACTCCTCCCTGTCGCACCCCGAGGCAGGTTTTTAGGGCGGGCCGGGCGTTTCGCGTG